GCTCACTACTTTTGGAGACATTTCCTACTCTAGAAAGCTTGTCCTTAGCTGGGCGCTGGTGGCTCACAGCTATAATCCTAGCTACTCAGGAGGCAGAGATCAGGAGGATTGAGGTTCGAAGACAGCCTGGACAAACAGTTGGTGAGATCCTATTTTGAATATACCCAACCCCTAAAAAGGGCTGGTGGAGTGACTCAAGTGGTAGAACGCCTGCCTAGCAAGTATGTGGCCCTGAGATCAAAGCCCAGTGCCAAGCCAGGTGCAAACAGTTCAAGAGACCCTATCTTGAAAAAACCCTTCACAAAAAAGAGCTGGTGGAGGGGCTCAAGGCGTAGGCCCTGAGTTCAAGCCCCAGTACTAAAAAAACAAAAACAACAAAAAAAGCCTAGTGCCACCAAAAAGAGAAAGAAAGAAAATTTGTCCTTGCTCTGAGCTTCGGGTGATCCACTGTTAGCTCACTGGCTTGGCTCTGTCTTCTAAATCTTGAGGATAACTTTCTTCTTTTTAGTCTTTTCTTTTTTTTGAGACAGGATCTCGACTGTGTAGCTCAGGCTCGCCTCAAATTCATGATCCTCCTGCCTCAGCCCCCTGAGTGCTGGCATTATAGGTAAACCTCACTCTAGTATTATAATTATTTTTTGCAGTGCCAAGGATCAAACCCAGGGCCTCTCACATGCTGGGCAAGTAAGTGTTCTACCACTGAGCTACATCCCTTGAGGGTAACTTTAAACTAGTACTCACTTACAAATGAAACAGGAAAAGGAAACACATTTGCTCTCTGATCTGACATGTTTAAATATTAGTCTGTTTGCAATGATCATTTCAGAATCCAAAGCCACTTCAAACATTACCATTAAAAACACACGTGGTAACCAAAGTGAAGCTTTGGTTATGAGGTAAAATTCCTTTTAATAAAATAATTCCTCCAAATAAGTTAGCTGTAATCAGACATTGCCATTTTTTTATACACTCTAATGAATTGACTCAAGATCCTAAAAGGATGAAACTATTAGATACGAGTCTTTACACTGAGATGGGACTGGTACCATCTAACGTGTTAATAGCAGGGGAACATGAAGCTGTGTGCTCACAGACGTGATGCAAGATGAAGCACACTGTGCTTCCCACTCAGTGCGTGATGACCTCGCCTTCTTTTTTTTTTTTTGGCAGCAGTGCAGTTTGAACTCAAGACCTCACCCTTGCTAAGCAGACACTCTATCACTTGAGCCATTCCACCAGCCTTTTTTTTCTCTTTTTTATTGTTTTGTTGCAGAATGCCCACGAAGAACATAAATGCAAATATTTGGTTGTGCAAAAGGAGGACTAGGCCAGGTGCCGGTGGCTCATGCCTGTAATCCCAGCTACTCAGGAGGCAGAGTTCAGGAGGATCACTGTTCGAAGTCAGTCCAGGCAAATAGTTCTCGAGACCCTATCTCAAAAAACCTTTCACAAAAATAGGGCTGGTGGAGTGGCTCAAGGTGAAGGCTCTGAGTTTAAGCCCCACTACTGAAAAAAAAAAAATAGGGCTAGTACATAAGCACAAATCAGGTAATTTTTTTGTTAAATAAATACTTGAACACAACTCAGGTCCTACAAGTGTTTGAACTTGAGATCTGAGTTTGAGCTGTCTCAAGGCCAGCAATGACATTGTGATTTCCACCCAGTAATCAATACAATCAGGTGTGGATGGTAGTGACACATGGTCACAAGGAGCCCCTTTTTTACAGCCTTCCTTGTCCTCTACAGACACGATCTGGCTAGAACAAAGATGACTGCAGCTCCTTGCAGGTCAATGGTCTGTCATAGGTAAGCACACTACATGCTGATTTCCGTTCCAAATCCTAGCTTTCTGAACCTTTTCCACCCCCCGACAGAAAACATTTGAAGCTGAATCTAATTAATAGAGTAACTTGCAGTTTACCAGGAATACAGACAATGAAGAACAATGCAAATGATGTCACCAGGAAGCAAACAGACAAATTCAGAATGTGGGGCATTTCACAAGAACAACTGGTCTCTTCAACAAGTGGGAGGTCCTACTGTGGAGGTGGCATGGGTGAACTTAACATCTACTGCACACAAATTTTACTTAAAAAAAAAAAAAGAAGAAACTGGGTGCACTCCTGTACTCCCAGCACTCAAGAGGCAGAGGTAAGAGGATCATGAATTTGAGGTCAACCTGGGCCACACAATGAGTTCTAGGCCAACGTGGGCTACATAGCAAGACCCTGTCTCTGCCCGCCCTCCTCCAAAAAAAGACTTAAGCCAGGCACATAGCATGTGCTGTAGTCTCAGCTACTCAGGAGGCTGAGGTGGGAGGATCAATGTAAATCTAAGAGTTCAAGACCAGCTTGGACAACATAGCAGGGATATGTCTCAGAAGATGAGAGGGAGAGAGAGAGATGGGCTGGTGGAGTGCCTCGAGAGGTAGAATGCCTGCCTACAAGGCCCTGAATTCAACCCCCAGCACCACCAAAAGGAGAGAAAGTACACAAGAGAGACTCAGACACAACAGCAGAATGGAAAATGTGTCAGCTTTGCAGATCATGGTTCCAATAAGCCAATTACAAAAAGCTATTAGTGAAAGGACATTGGGTAAAATGGGTCTATGGATTTATATGGAAACAAATGATTGTGAATTTTGTTAGCTGTGTGAAAACAACTGCCCACTGTTTTTAGAGTTGTATGTCTTAAGATGATGTGGGGTCTGGGACATGCTTTAAGATGTCAGCTTTAGCAACTGGGTGTGTGGCTTGGTGGTAGAGCATGAACAAGACCATGGATTCAAGTTCCAAAAACAAAACAAAACAGAGCTGGAGGCATGGCTCAAACTGTAGAGTGCCTACCTAGCAAGCATCAAGTCCTGAACCCAAAGTCCCACAAACAAAACAAAAACAAACAAAACTTTAGTGCTATTTATAGGTCAAGTGTCAAAAGGCCTGAAACTTCCTTTCAAATACATCCTCAGAAACACATACTTGTATGTATGAGGTACAGAGCCACGTGCTGGTGGCTCACGCCTGTAATCCTAGATACTTAGGAGGCAGAGATCAGGAGGATTGAGGTTTGAAGTCAGCCTGGGCAAATAGCTTGTGAGATCCTATCTTGAAAATACCCAACACAAAATGACTGGTATGGTAGCTCAAGTGGTAGAGGGCCTGCCTAGAAAACATGAGGTTTTGAATTCAAACCCTAGTACTGCCACAAAAAAAAAAAAAAAAGGCAGAAAAGAAAGGAAACAAATGTGGCAGGCTGTTAAAATGGTTACTCTAGAGAAAAATGCATTTTATTGTATTATTCTTTTAGCTTTTCTATAGATTTGAACTTTCTCCTCATAAAAAGATGAGAAAAACACTTTAGCAACAACAAAAAAGAAAGGTAGGAAGGGAGGGGGAAACAAGAAGAGAAGGGAAAAGATGGGGGGAGGAAGAAAGGAAGGAAAGGAGAGAAAGAAAGAAGCAGCAAATACGGTAAATATCTTGACTTTTTTTTTTTTGAGATGGGGGTCTCACTATGTTGTCCAGGCTGGCTTCGAACTCCTGATCTAAGTGATCCTCCTGCCTCAGCCTCCTGAGTGCTGATGCTACAGGTGGTAGCTACTGTGCCTGCTGTGACATTCTCGAATTTGGCTGGAGAACATATGGGGCTGGTTATGCGCTTCTTCATAGTTTTCTATATGTTCAGTCGGGTCCTATCTGTCTCCTAATATTTCTGCAGTGTTCACCACCAGCCTGTCTTAGTGAACTGTTCTGCTCTATCCCACAACCATCCTGTGAGATGGCAGTTTTGTCATCAGGAGTCTGCAGATGGCGAGCATCTCAGAGAGGTGAGGTGGCTTTCCCAGCTGCACACACAGGTGAGCTGAGAAGCCAGGACCTGGACATAGTCAGTTGGCTTCCAGAGACTGCATTCTTAACCCCCACTCCATCCAATCAGAAACACCCCAAAACATCACCTCATCCAGAGGGAACCACATGTTAATTCACACCCATTAGGAACTTCTCTTATCGTTCCACTACTCTGTGGCCTTGATCTCATGCCATCTAGTGCTTGCCTGCCTCGTGCAACAATAAAGGCCAAGTTCTGTTCTTTGGCTCTATACCTCTTCTGCAACACCTGCTATTTCCAGGAGCATTTCCTCCTGCATCCTCTTCCTCTGTTCTAGCAACTAGCTCATGGCCAAATCCAGTCCTCTGAAGCCCCCACAGTAAGCCTGCAGTTTCCTAATTCAAAACCCACTCCTCCCTGCAGCTTCTGGCCCACGTTCCTGTTTTTTGTTTAGTTTTTTCACAACTGGAGTATGAACTCAGATGTAAGAAAGAGAAGGAGGGATGGAAAGATGAGGCCAAACTGTGGAAAAGAATATTTATTCAGTGCCTACTGTGTGCTAGGCACCATGCTAAAGTCTAATGTAAGGTTAGGTTTCCTTATATTATCTCAACTGATTTTCACAAGCCTGGGTTACAAGCTGTTATTGACCCTACTTCACAGGTAAGAAGACTGAGGCTCAGAGGAAGAATGGAGCTTGCTAGGCAGGTCCTCTACTGCTTGAGCCACACCTCCAGCCATAGCCCCATTCCTGTCTGACATTCCAGCTCCTCTGTGCCCTCATCTCCAGCATCCTTCATCTCTCCATGTGTCCACTCACCCATCCCCTAGTGTCCCACTTTCTGACTAGTTAGAGACTGCTATTCCTGGGCCAGCCCATGGTTTGTGTTTTTTTTTTTTTTTGGCAGCACTGGGGTTTGAACTCAGGGTCTCACGCTTACTGGGCAGGTACTCTACCACATGAGCCACTCCGCTGGCCCTTTTCGTATGGGTGTTTTCAAGATAGGGCCTTGTGAACTATTTGCCCAGGCTGGCCTCGAACCATGATCCTCTTGATCTTTACCTCCTGAGTAGACAGATTGCAGGCATGAGGCGCCGGTGCCCAGCCAGTCCCTGGCTCTCGCACTCTGCTGACGGTGTGACCTGGGCGCCCGCGTCTCGCTCTTACTTACGCCCTGTGAGTGCAGGTACTCCACAGTCTTGCCGATGGTGTGCAGGACGAAGCTGGCCTCCCGCTCCGAGAAGAACTTCTGCCGCAGGATCTTGTCCAGTAGTTCCCCGCCTCTCATCAGCTCTGTCACCAGGTATACATGCTTCCCATCGTCATACACCTGCCGGAAGACCTCACTGTGAGGCCTGGACCCTCCGTCACCAGCTCCCCACACAGGGTAGAATGACGTGCTTCAGGCCTGGGTTCTGCTGTGTTTCAGTGGCCCTGACAGGTCCTTCACCCATCTGGGGTATAGTCTTCCTGGACAGAGAATGCTGCCCTAGTCCCCTGTGGGAGGGAGAGCTCTCAGAGAATGCCATGGAGGGCCTTTGGGGTGTGGCCACAGTGGAAGGACTCAGAGTCCCCTTGCCCTCCCCATAAACTAGAAGGAGGATCAGAAGTTAAAGGTGCTGGGCGCTGGCAGCTCACACCTGTAATCCTAGCTACTCAGGAGGCAGACATCAGAAGGATCTATTTGCCCTGAGCAAATAGTTTGTAAGACCCTATCTCAAAGACCCCGTCAACAAAAAGGCCTGGCTGTGTGGCCCAATGTGAAGGCCCTGAGTTCAAACCCCAGTACCACCAAAAAAGAAAAAAAAAAAGCTAACGGTAGGGCTCAAGACAAATGCTAGAGTTGTGAGCCCAGCCTGCGTGGTCTCAAGGACCTCCACTCACATCCTTCAGGGTGATGATGTTGGGGTGCTGCCCATACCGCAGAAGAATCTCAATCTCTTCTGAGGGATCCCGCTTGCTCTTGTCGATGACCTGAAGAAAGTGGGTGCATGTAGCAGAGTCTGGAGGAAAAGACTCCAGGGTTCCTCCCTGACACAGAGCCCACATTGGAGGGTCTGGGGATCTCAGCCACATACCTTTTGCCATCCATGGAGCCTCAAGCCCCAACCCTCCCTGCCAAAGGGCTACAGCTGTCTTAGCCTCACCCCCAGCCTGGCAGCCTCAGCCAAATGTGGTCAGGAGGCCTACCTTGACAGCATACTCCATGTTGGTGGCCTTGTGGACACAACGCTTGCATACAGAGTAGGAGCCCACACCAATCGTCTCTTTTACCACGTAGCCATCACTAAAAACCAGGTTTTTCCCATGGAGTTGCTGTAGGAGACAGACAGGTGGGACTGACCATGGCTCCAAAGTGCCAAGGGTCATCCCTAGCACCAGGGCCTTTGCTCAGTGAAGATGACCTAGGGAAAGAGTCAAGAGGCCTGTGTAGTGATGGCTGTGTGACCTCAGGCGAGAATCTGCCACTCTCTGGACCTCAGTTTTCTACTCTATACAATGGACACATTTGCTGTTTCCCTGCTGGCCTGGACTGCTGTCTGCAGTCAGAGGTAGAGGAGGGGGCGCACTTGAGAGGTTTGTGGTTCTGAGAAGCCTGGGCAGGCCTGAGAGGGGCACAGAAGCTTGGAACTGGGTTCCAGCTCTGCCACTTAAATGGTGCTTTCCACCTTATTTTAGGTGAGTTGTTTTCCCTTTTTGGGGTGTCAGAACCTGCTTCATGGAGTGTCTCAAGTTTCCGCGATTAACTATAGTATATGTGCACGTGATACTTAGTGAAAAGCACTATTTTAAGCACGTTCATCAGGTAGCCACAGGTCCTGTGGACAGCCTTGGTTTGTGCCTATTGTCCTCGTACCTGATCTGGTTTAATATTTGTCCTGGACAAAGATGTTCCAGTTTGGACAATAAATTACATAGTTGCCTTAAATTTATATGTATTAGCTCAGATATTCCTCACAACTACTGTATAGAGGAAGGTTCTATCATTAAACCACTAACAGATGAGAAAACTGAGGCACCAGGGAGGTGTCTCATCCAAAGTCACTTACCTTGTAAGCTCTGAACCCAGGCAATGAACTCTTGCCTCTCACCTTTAAACTTTCTGTGGGGCAGTGTAGTGTACAAATAAGGGATGAAAGGGAGGACACACAAGTCCCCTGCCACCCACTCTGTCAGGTACTCACTCCACCCTCTAGGCATTCTCTGGCATTTACACAGACCCTGGTTCTGTGCCAGGAAAAGTATACTCTGGTTTTCATCTAATTATCAGAAACACCATGTGAGGCAGGCATTATCACACCCATTTTACACGCTCAAAGTGAGGGTCCAGGAACTTGGAGGATCTTTCAGGGTTGGATTCAGGCCTGTCCAGCTGCAGAGCCTGTGCTCTTAGTTGTTCTGCCTTGTGGTTCCTGGGTGGAAAAGGAGCAGGAGTCCCCTGCCTCCCTCACCTGTACCACGGAGTGCAAGGGGGCCTGTGTGGCCCGAGGCTTGCCGTCATCCTCCATCAGGCCAGTGGCCACAAAGCTGAAGCCACGGAACAGTTGATGGGCTCCAGCGCTGGGGGGGATGCCTGGGGAATCTGTAAGGGCCAAAGGGAGACATGAGCCTGAGAGGTGCACTTGACCCTAAGGCAGCCCAGTAAAGGATACCACAGTAGGTCTTGGCCTGCCTCAGTAGCTGGCCATGGTGAGAGCCTATAAAGGACCCAAGGATCCCAGGCCTTAGCCTATCTGTTCCCATTTAGTCCAGCCCAATACTGTCACATAAGGAGTGTAAGACTCCCACATATGGCCTCCACCCTAGCTAAAATGTCCTGTATACCTTTTTCCTGCCTCAGATTTGCCTCTTAAGGTCCATCTTTTGCACTGTACCCAGTAACCACAAATCTGCCACCCTGCCTGCACCCTTCACATGCTCCCCTTTGCCCCAACTCCTTACGTCAGGCAATTGAGGTCCCTGTAGTCTTAGCCTCCTTTCTCCCCATTCTGCAACTCAGCCCTGCTGCACGTCCCATATTCTTAAAGGGGTCTCTGAGCCATTACACATGCTGTTCCCTCTGACCAGATAATCTATTCCTTGTCTACACTTTAAGGCTCAGCTCACACATTGTCTCCTCTCAGAAGTTTGTCTGACACTGTCCTACAGCCTTTTGATCCCATGAGCCTCTCTTCCAACAATAGCCTGAGTCACATGAAGGGTCTACTTGTTCACCATCATTTCCCCTATGGCTAGCACCAAGTAGGGACCTGATATGTACTTGCAGATAAATGTATAACGAGGAGACAGACTGCTCGGAGAAGTGCTGAGCTCCCAGTCACCAGTGGTGTGCAACCTACAGTAAGAAAAGTAACCCTTCTACAAAAGCATGTCCTTAAAGGGCTCTTTTCTTTCTTTTTTTTTTTTTTTTGGTGGTACTGGGGTTTGAACTTAGGGCCTCACGCTTGCTAGGCAGGCACTCTACCACTTGAGACATTCTGCTAGCCCTTTTTGTGCTGCGTATTTTCAAGATAGGGTCTCATGAACTATTTTGCTTGGGTTGGCTTTAAACCATGATCCTCCTGATCTCTGTCTCCTGAATAGCTAGGATTACAGGCATGAGCCCCGGACCCCTGGCTACTCACTGATTTCTTGCAGAAGCCCCCAGGAATGGTGGATCAGTGGCTTGCCTAAGTTCTAGAATAAGTATACTGAGGCCTAGCAGTCAGAAGGTCAAAGCTGATTCCCACACTTGCCTCTGACCTGAGGGCACTGTCACCTCTGCTTTGCCAGAATGTCTCCACCTGGTTTTGCTGGGTCAGATTCCTTACCTCTGACAAGACTTGCAGGCCTGATGTGTTTAATCTTTCCAGTGGGCTGGAAGATGCCTGGGACAAGGGTCCTCACTTTCCTATTGTGGCCTACCCACCCACACACCTCGCCCCCTCACTGAGACACAAAGAGGCCCAAAGAGCCCAGGAGCAAGAGAGTCAGGCAGCATGAGGCAGGGACACAGTCAGAGTCCTATGGAACTAGACACTCACTGCCTGTCTACCCACACACCCGGGCATGCCAGAGTCCCTAACCACCTCTATGTCCCAAGGTGCCCCTGACTCCTTGCTTCCTTCCTGCACCAGCCCGGGACAAACCACACAAGGGACACACCTCTGGGTGTGCGGGATGTAAACTCTGTGTCAAAGTAGAAGGTGTCATCAGGCTGAGCCACAGCAGGCTTGAAGGGTGGCTTGATCTCACGACGGTAGAGCTTCTGCAAGGTGGGGCCGGAGCTCTGGTCACCACAGTGCCTCCACAGCCCACCAGAAGCCCCAGACAGGAGAAGCAGAGGCCATGCTGCCCAGCAGACAACAGCAGAACTGCCTGCCTGGGGAGGTCAGCCCTGCCTTCAAGGGCCAGTCATCACCCTCCACTCCCACTTTTTTTTTTTTTCCCATTCCCACTCCCACTTTTGAGGTCACAGTTGGCAGAGGCCCCTCCCACCACCTTTCCTTTCTTCCCCTTCCACCACCCTTTGTGTAGCCTACACCACTGGAGCCCTGCATGCATGGACACACTCACATTCCAGTCAATGGTGGAGTAGAAGATGTGCCGTTTGATTTCCTCTGCTCCGTCAGGGCCTGAGCCTGAAAGAGTCCAAATGAAAGGTCTGCCACTGAGTGGTCCAAACCAACAACTACCCCTGCTCACCAAGCAGCTGAACAATGGTCTGCAACCAGCTGCTGGGACAGGAGACAGGATGTGCTCACCCTGATGTGAATTAACCCAACTATCACCCTAAAGCCTGTTGTCTGCTCAGCATTTTCTACTTTATGGAGCCTCTGATGATCAAGTTCCAAAGTACTAATTGAAGAAGGAAGGCCCAGAGAAGTTAGGCAACTTGTCAAGGCCATGGTCAGGACTGAAGCTGGACTATTCTGAGATCAACAGTGGCTCCCTGTGGCCTGCCAATGTGGGTCTTGTCTCTGCTCATCTTATCCTTTTCGTTTTTAACAGTAAAACCCACCCTCACTCCATTCAACCAGGGACCTGGACTGGACCTTATGAAGCTGGTCATGGTACCAAGCAAACTCAGGAGCCAAGGAAATAAAACACATACTGACCACTACTACACATCAGGCACGTCCATGAAACCTCATTTAATCCACAGATCCCTGCAGTAGCTTGGGATCATCCTCTCCATTGAGAAAAGAAACCTGGCGCTCAGAGAAGTAAAGTCACCTGTCCAGGTCACAGAGCTCATAAATTGTACTTATTCGCTCAACAAACATTTACTGAGGGACTGCCATGTGCCAGGCGGTGGGGACTGACACAGCTGGGACTGGGACCTGAGTCTTCTCACCCCTGAACTCATGTCCCTTCTCTTGAGCCAGCAATCTTGGCAGAGAAGCTGTGTGGGGGCCTCTGTCCTTGTCCCCAGAGGGAGTGGAGATGACTCAGTTCCTGCCTTCCCCCTACACACAGGTCACCCCCCGCCCTAACACCACATATGAAGCCAGAAAGCAGGGTGGCCAGCAGCATTGTCTACCCACACAAAGGACAACAGCCCCTTTCAGCCCCAGATGTGGCCCTGTGGCCTAGGCTGCAGCTGTACCCTGTTCCCCACCACTAAGTCCCCTCCCCTGTGCTGGGGTTGCTTACCGAGCCGGTTGGCAGGATTCCTCTTGAACAGGGCCCGCAGGAGACTCTGAGCTTCCGTGCTCAGAAACTGGGGCATGCCTAGCTTTGCCCTGAAACAGCCCCCGGGTCTCATCAGGACTGAGCCTTGCCCCCCAAAGCCCCAGCTCCCCTCCTCCTCTGTCCATGCCTTTTTGGGAACAGTCCAGACAAGCCAGCCACTAACTCACCTCCCGTAGACTTCAGGGATTCCTTCTGCATGCCCCAGTGGATAAAAAGGGGGCCCTGCAGGTAGGGACAGTATAATTCTCTGGCCCCCCAACTGGGATGGCATGGGTGGAATCTCTGTGAGACCAGGGCAGGAATGGTGCTTACTTCAAAATCAAGGTCATGGTCTCTTTCCGGTCCTTCCCCTGGAAGGGCAGGGAGCCTGTCAGCATCTCAAACTGTAGAAGACAAAGGTCCATTCAGGCTCTGATCCCTTTCTCCCACACCCCCCTTCCTCTTCCCAGCCAGGCCACCCTACTCCAGTCCCAGGATTCTTGCTGGTCTATTGACCCTCCAAATCTACCTGGAGCTAGGATTATGTCTGTTCCTCTCCCCTCTGCCAACCTAGACCTCCAGGAGCAGCACTAGGGGCCTGAAGCCAAGAAAAAGCCTGAGCCAGGTCAGGGACGCCTGTCAATCCCAATCCCAGGACCCTTCCAAGGAAGGAAAATGTGGCAGCATGCAGGGCAAAGTGAGCTTGACTGTGAGAGGACAGGAGAGCCTTGGACACGACCAACCCCCTCGCTGCACAGATGATGAAACAGGCCAGAGACTGAGGCTGGATCCTTTACCCCTGGCCTGGGACTCACCATCAACACCCCATAGGACCACCAATCCGCACTGTGGGTGTGGCCCTGGCGGTTGACAACTTCAGGGGCCATGTACTCCACTGTCCCGCAGAAGGAGTAGGCTTTCTTCTCGTGGTCAATGGCCTCCTTGCTCAGGCCAAAGTCTGTAGTGAGAGCACAGGTCACATCTTTAGGATCTCTGCTTTCCTTGCTGCCACCTTTTACACATTCAGCTCCCCTGTCCAGAGGCTTGACAGCATCACCTCCATGACACTCAGGAGGAAGTTAAAGCCTAGAGAGGACAGGTGACTCATCCACGGTTATATAATACGAATCCAACCTGGGCTGTTCCAAGTTCATAGCCCAGAGTTTAACCCCTTCTGAGGAACTGGCACCATCTCTCAGGAAGAGTGAGCCCCCAGCCCTCAGCTGAGACCTATCAGGAGCCCCTTTTATCCTCCCCTGGGGCTGGAGGGGACAGGAGCCCTCCACTCACCAGTGAGTTTGATGTGACCCTCCTCATCAAGAAGGATGCTGCAACAGAGAAATGGGTGTTAGGTCCCTTCAGCGGCAGGCACCATGTGGGTTCTGGTGGCACCATGGGACGTAGGGACTTGGACCTGTCTGCAGGAGGTGCTTTGCCCAGATCTATCTGATGAATGGGTGGCAGAGCGGGATCCTGGCAACGCCATGCTGGTATACTGCCTACCTTTTTTGCTAATCCTTGCAACAACTCTGAGGTAGATTCTATTATGGCCCCACTTTACTAATGGGGAAACTTCAGCTCAGGAAAGTTAAGTAACTCCCCAGTCACAGAGCTGATTTTTTTAAACACGGGGTCTTACTATGTTGCCCAAGATGGCCTTGAACTCCTGGGCTCAAGCAATCTCCTCATAGCTGGGACTACAGGCGTGTACCACCACACCTGGCTTGGGGGTATGCCTAACTCCACAGCCAGATCTTTCTCCACCTTACTATTTGCCTTTGGTTCCCAGATTACTTTGATGGGCACTATATTTAAATATTAAGAAAAAGTCCAGAGAGTATCTCAGATGTCACACTGGATCAGCAAAAAGCAAAAAAAAAAAAAGAAAAAGAAGATAGGCAACATGGCTGCCTGGAAGGTACCTGGCCCTTGGTAATGACAGCACTGGTGTTAGGTAGCCCCTAATCATGAAAGGTGAGCAGCAGGCTGCTGTGGCCACCCAACTCCACTCACCCATTCTTCAGATAGCCCCAAAGAGGGGAAGTTCCTGGGGAGAGCCACACCCACCTCAGTCAGGTGGCCCAGTTCTAGAAGAGGCCTAGGGAAGCCTGGGCGGGGTAGGGGATCCACTCACTTCTCAGGCTTGAGGTCTCTGTAAATGATGCCCAGGCTGTGCAAGTGGTCCAGGCCCAGAGCCAGCTCGGCCAGGTAAAACTTCACGTCCTCCTCCGTGAACATAACCTGCAACAGTCAGGGGCCAGAGTGGGGGGGGAAGGGCCTTCAGTTGGGACCTCCTTTTCCTCTGGAGCTGGGCCACGAGGCAGCCAGCAGCTTCTTGGTCCTAAGGGTCCACCCCGGGGACATACCCCAATACCACAAACCAAAGGGGTTTGCAGTATGAAATGACTAATATCCAAATCACTCATTACAGCATTGCTTAGAAATAGCAAAAGGTTGAAAACAGCCAAATGTCCAGGAGTAGAACACTGGAATAAACTTCCTCTCCCGCATAATGGAGAGCTATCCATCCATACACTAGAACAAGGGGTCTATGTTCTGATATGGAGTGACCTCTGACACACTATCTTGAAAAAGGCATGGGCAGAACAGTGTTTACAGAATAGTACTTTTTACATAAGAAAGTGGGGGTGGAAATTCAGAACATGTACTGAATTTGTTTGCAAAAGGAACAGGGGAAGGTTAAACAAGAAACCAATAAAAATGTTTACCTATGGGGGTACAGGGAACTGGGGTGAGAGGAAGACTTCTTAATGAATATTCTTCCTTTGACTCATATAAATGTATTACTTATTCAATAATAATTTTTTTTTCTTTTTTTGGTGGAACTGGGGTTTGAACTCAGGGTCTCACACTTGCTAGGCAGGTGCTCTTACTGCTTAAGCCACTCCACCAGACCTTTTTGTGATGGGTATTTTCGAGATAGAGTCTCGTGAAGTATTTGTCGAGGGCTGGCTTCAAACTGTGATCCTCCTGATCTCTGCCTCCTGAGTAGCTAGGATTATAGGCATGAGCCACTGGTGCCCAGCTAAAATTAAAAGTTTAGTTCTCTTTAAAGGTTGAATTGTATTAATGGTTCCATTTTCATATGTGGCTTATATCCTTTTGGATAACATGTGGGACAAGAATGCTAAAGCCTCTAGCTTTCTGGGTGGGTTTGGACTTCACCCTGTGCTCATGGCCCTGGCCAGTGTGAACCTAGCAGAATGAAGGTAGAAAGGTGAGAGGTGCCCTCAGCTCCCCAGGGCCTATTCATCCTCAGCCCATGTTGGGAGAAACTTTCAGGAGTGGCCTCTGTCCCAGGGCAGGTGACATTTCCTGAGTCAGAGGCTACTAGGCAGGGCTGGGCAGTTATAGGTCCAGATGTGTTATTTACAGAGCCCTAGAATGGGAGGCCTTGTGCCCACAGCTGCATCCAATGGCCCTCTGGCAGAAGAATGCCATCTCACCTCTTTTGAGAGCCGTGTGAAGAGGTCACCACCACGCAGGAAGTCCAGAATGAGATAGAGCTTGCCCTCAGTCTGGAAGGCTGAGAGAGGGAAAAAGTCATGATGGAGCCAGCTGGGCCTTGTGACCTGCCCCTCCAGCCCTAGCTTCTTGGCCTGCCATGTGGGAGGTAGGACAAGGTACAGGGAAAGTAGCAGACCACAGGCGAGGGCAGTTGCTGAGTGGAGGGGCAGGAGCTAGGGCAGGCTCTGTGGTCTCACCATAGTGCAGCTTCACCACGAATGGGTGGTTTACATCAGCCAGGATATCTCTTTCCATCTTGGTCCGAACTCGGTCACGTACTGGCCAGATGAGAAAAGGAAGTCACCAAGAGTCTATACACCCAACACAGCCACTCCCCAGCCCAATTAAAAGCTCTTTCCACTTGTTCCTCTAGGCCTGAGCATCCAGAGCTCCCTCACCCAGGGCTCAGGGTCACTCAATTCCCCACACCCCCTGCCCAGGCTATTCTGGCTCCTCAGCCTGCTGTCTGCTCCCAACCCCACGGCAAAGCCTGGGTGGGACCATGGTGCTCCACCCAGTTCTCTAGCCCTGACTCCCACCACACTGAGAAACTTGTGCTATATTTTCTGAGGTCCCCAGACTTTGACACTGTCTACCTTTACCAGCCCTCTCGCCATCTGGTATAAAAATTCTCAAGCTCTAGCCTGGAGGGGCTGGTGAGAAAGGTTACTGGGAGGGCTAGCTAGACAGGTAGATTCCCTGGGCCTAAAATTCTTATTCATGGATCTGAGCAGTCATCTCTCACATGCTTTCTATTTTATTTATCTATTGATTGATTGATTGATTGATGGGACTGGGATTTGAACTCAGGGCTTCATGCTTGCAAAGCAGGTACTCTACCTCTTAAAGCACACCTCCAGTCCATTTTTTTTTTTCTGGTTGTTTTGGAGATGGGGGTCTCACAAACTATTTGCCTGGGTTGGTCTTGAACTGTGATCCTCCCAATCTCAGCCTCCAGAGTAGACAGGATTACAGGCATGAGCCACCAACACCTGGCAGCTTTTTTTTTTTTTTTTAAAGACTAAAAGTTGCCAGACAGTTCTGGCCATCAACAGGCTCTCAGAAGACTCAGTTTAGGCCTCAGGTCCTCCAGGAGGTGTCTTTATCCTCGAAGCCTGGGTTGGGGACTTTTGGCCTCCCACAGTGTTTGTGCTTCCCCTTCAGACCACTGTTGATTCTCTGCTTTAATTCTCATTTTCCCTCACTGGATGTGGCAGGAACCATGCTGTAGTTAGTTAACTGTTCCAACCTTGGTTTTAAACACACCTTACATTTCCAGCCACCTCGGCCAAATGGTTCCCCCTTCCTGGGTACCCTTCCTCTACCATCTTGGTCTAGAGAACTCCTAGTGCACCCCTCAAGGAATAGCTCACACTGCTACTCCTGGTGTTTCCCTGACTCCTCAGCTGTCCTCTGTGAGGTTGCTCCCCACCCCTCTGGGATCTCCAGCCTTGAACATCCATGCACAGAGGTCTCTAGACTGCTGTACTACGCTGCCAGGATGTGTTTAGCCTCTGTCACCCAGCCTGTCCCTTCATAGGTCCTACATAGCAGGGACCATGTCTTTTCATCTTTTCCCTGCCCTGAGGCTCCTGGGGGATGACCCCCATCCCTGCACCAAAGATACCATCACCCTGCAGTCAGCCCTTCATGGGTCACAGGACACATCTATCCTTAAGGCTGACCCCTTCTACTCTCCCCACCAAACCCCAAGACAGGGCTTGGCTTGGACTCTACCTGGTCAGTGGCCACACTGGCTTCCCAGGCCAGTCAGAGTCAACAATGGACCCAAAGCCCACTATCAGCCATCCTCACACCCTTTGTAAGTCCCCAGAATTCTAGATTTGACTTGGGGCTCCCAAACCATCCATCACCATGGTCCTGCTTCCATTCACCCTCTTATGGGGCCAGCTGCTCCATGGGCTCCCTGCCTCTTTCTTCATGCCCTTCTGCACCCTGAGCTGGGGACCAGAGGGGTCTCCCTCAGACTCTTCTAGCATCATGAAACAACTCTGCTGGCTGAACACTTCTGCCTGACAAATTTGATTTTTGAGGTGCTCCACCCTATCCCAGCATACTGCATTCATCCCTCTACCTCCTTGTAGACATTTGCCTTCAGCCAGTCACTGCCATTTGGTTTTGGAGGAAGGGGATGACGGGGTAAGGGGCAACTGAGAGTAAGCCTGTTTCTCTACCTTTATTCTAGGTGCTCCTGAAGATGGGGCCATCTCCTTCATCAGTCCCAAGACTTATGAAACCTGGGGTTCTCCCTCAACCCTGAGCCCAGTCTGAGTTCTGTCCAGGGAGACTCCCCACCGGATTCACCTTTCAATGTTGCCTTCTTTAGCACCTTCATGGCATACAGGTGCCCATTGTCGGGCCGGGTGACCTTCCGCACCAGGAAGACCTGAGAAAGCAGAGGGGGAAAATGCAGGGAAGAGTCAGGTGGGGGTTGAGCCTACCAGCTCCCATCCCCCAGGACCCAATATTGACTTCTATCTTTCCTAAGCCCCCAACTGACCTTTTGTTTTCCCAGGGTACCAAGGTGAGCTCTCTCCTCTGGGCCTCAAGGCGACCCCTGACCCCACCTTAACATGACTAGTACCGCCCTTCCAGGCAGGGATTCATGACTCACTTTGCCAAAGGATCCCTGGCCCAGAACCTTGAGGAGCTCGAAATGGGATGGATCAGCCTTCTCCGAGCCTGCCTTGACATGGTGCGTGATGGAGATCTCCTTGAGGATGCCCTCATCCTGACAGAGAAACAGAGATGGTAGGCATGGGGATCTGACCAGAAAGTAGGGGATGTAGCCCAGCAAGCCATCCCACCAGACTTCAGCAGTCCCAATAGACCTGAAGGGGAGCCTCCAGGCTCATGGATACCAACAGGGCCTCAAAGGCTGGGAGGCCAACCCACCAAGGTGCTGGCTCAGATAAGGTGCTGCTCCTGTTACCCTGAGGGCTCTGGCCTGATCAGGCCCAAAGAGATACCCATGCATGGCCAGGATGAACCAGCCTCAGACTCCAGGACTCCAGCTGAGGTGCAGGGACCTGTGAGGGCTGTGCTGTTTGACTCCCCTCCCCCTGCTATTTTGGTTTTGCCACAATAGGAAGTAGGGTTTGAGCTCATAACGGGGAGGTAGAGCAGGGCCTCTGCTGCTCATCAGGATGAGATGAGGGGATCTATATGAACAGGATTGAAGTGAACAAAGACTTAAGAGTCACCCAGATGTTCCTCTCAACCCAGTAATGCCAGTCTGGGGCGGGTGGGAGTTAAGGCCAGAGACTCCATGCCCTACCTACACAAACTTCCCTCGGACAAGTCTCTAGAAGCCTTTTATCAGGTCCCAGCACTTCTACAGCCCTTCTGCCCTCCTCTAATCAGCCAGTCTTGACCTGAAGCCCTAATGTTACCTTCTCACTTCCCAGGAAGCAAGTCTGGACAGAGTCCAATCACCCAGCAGTGCCAGACTTGGGCTAGGAAGGCTCAAAGACAGCTTAGGCCAAACCGGCTGCCTAGGCACCTGTTCCAAGGGCCACTCACCAAGTTCTGCCGAGAACTAGAGCCAGAGTCAGGAGCAGGCAGAGAGGTCTGGCCGATCCTAGGCCGCTGCTTCCTGGGCAGCCAGGGGAGCAGGGCCCAGAGCCGCAAACGGGGCGGCTTGGGATCCTGCTCCATCCGCCCAGTAGGGCTGGCACCATGGCAGGGGCAGACGGCGTCCGGGGCTGCCACGGAGGTGGCCGGGCCAAGGCGGATGTGCTGGGTGCGGGCTCAGGGGCTGGGCCCAGCTCAGGGCAACCAATCACTCAGGGCCTGTGGTTTCCTAGCTTCAGGCCTCCACCCTCACCCGGTTCCCTTCTCTCTTCTCCCCTCCCCAGTGCCTGAGGGCTGCCCTTAGGCCCTCTCCCCCATCTTCCCCGTGGTCCTACAGAGGGAAAGTCCTATGCCAACCCAGCTGCTGAGAAGACTGGTACCCAACAGGCAAAGACAGGTGCCTAGCAATGTACAAGCAGATAAAGAGAGACACTCAACAGGCAGAGACAGGCATCCAACAGGTGGAGACAGATAAAGATGGGCATCCAGGGTTGGCGGAATGGCTCAAGTGTACAGCGCCTGCTAGCAAGCATGAAGCCCTAAATTCAAATCCTAGTACTACCAAAATAAATAAATAAGATGGGCATCCAACAGGCAGGGGCAGGAAGGGATACATATACATATATACATATACAAATATATCCAGCAAGAATGAATAAGTACTCATACCTAACAGGCAGAGAGGGACAGGCACCTGTACCCAACAGGCAAAAGCAGAAAGGTACACATATCCAACAGGCAGAGGCAGACATGTACCTAAAAGCAGAGTCCAGAGGAGCACATATCCATCAGGTGGGGAGAAGTAGCAATTCCTGTTTAACAGACAGGTAGACAGAGACTTGTACCCAACATGCAGAGACAGAGGGGATAGGAACTCAATAGGCACAAAGAGAAGGGCACGGGAATGCATTAGATGAGACAGATGGCAATAACAACCCAACACGCAAAGACAGAAAGGGACACAAACCCAACAGACACCTAACATGTGGCTTGTACCCAAACGGTGAAGACAGCCTGGAACTCAACATCAGAAACAGGTGGGCAGTAAGAGAGTCAGAGTGAGTGAGGTCCACAAAGACTGATGGATGCCCAGAGCAGACACAGCAGGTGGCAGGGCAGGGATCCCCAGGAAAAGGCAAAGGACAGAGTCGTTGTTGCTGGTATACCTGGGGGTGGGGACAGAAACAAGGGGATACAAACTACCAGCTCCCAGCACTCAGCACAGCAGTGTCTGGGGTCTTCTGTTTCCCTAGTGTTTCCCTGAGGGTGGCCCCAAGACTGAGGTAGAGGTTGAGAACATCATCAACTAAGGGCACTCTGATGGCTTTGACTCTGATCCAAATATCTCAAAAGCTGTTAACCCCTTTTTGGGAACAGGAAACTGAAGCCTAGAGGATAGTAACACCTAAGCTCAAAGAAAACTAGTGGCATTACCAACTTGAGCTCAAGGCCCTCCTCTGGGTCCTGCCTGACTGGTATCAGCTGTCTTAAGTGCCAGGATGGGTGGGTAGGTTAATCAGCCAGAGCCACTTCCTGCCCACCCAAACCCTCCCTCTCCCTCAATCCTAGGACCAGTCTGGGACTTCCCACTCCAGGTCTTGACCCTCAGAGACTCAATCCTATCTTCAGGAGACTCTCTCTGATAGATAGGGGAGTGGGTGTAACAACCCCACCAAAAAACCAAAAAGCTCCTGGCCCCTGAGTGTAACCTTGTGGAGAGATAGGCAGAAAGCATGACTCAGAGAGGGGCTGAGGTGGGCAAAGACCACACAGAAACCCTGGTTTACCCACCCTGAGATCTGCACTTCCCCCTCATCTGTCTGTCTCTGACTGAGAACACTCTCTGGGGAGAGAAGCGGCCACCCAGAAACCCCAGGGGACAGAGTCACACCCAAAACTATTCCTTTCCCAGAGTCCTGGTGACAGACACTACTGGAGACCCTTCTGCTCACCTTTCTGGGACAGGAGGCCGAATCTCTTTCAACCCTGGGGAAATCTGCCGGGGTCTGCATGGTAGGGCTCAAGCCAATGGCCAGAGGGCCCCGTTACTCCTTGTACTTCTGCTTTTTTTAGCCTTCTTGACCCAGAAGGCAGGGTCCCTGGCCCCCCTCCTTCTCACTTCCCCCTTGACAGGGAGGAGGGACTGAAGATGGATCTGGCTACCCTGCTGAGAAGGGGACACTGCAGACCCCAAGCTTATTACCCAGGGAGAGCTCAAGAGGACACCTGCCCTGTCTCCTGACCCTAAAGAAGGAACACAGGAACACAGAAGTCACAAGGCAATAAGGCAGTGATACAGCAGGTATCCAGCACCTCCAAAACATTAACCTGAGGACCCCAAGAGCATGTGGGACAGCAGTCAGCAAGGCCACTCTGACTGTCCTAGCAGAGCTTAGACATTCCTTCACCCAGCCTAGTCCTGCCCCTGCTCAGATGTCTTGAGAAGCCTGCTAGTCCCAGGCCTTGGGATGGGCCAAAGGGCAGAAGGTCCAAGAGGAGGAGCGCTACTGAGGGGAGGGGTAGGCCAGGCTCCACCCCTTTCCACGTGGCCTTCCCTCATCCTCACACCAGCATACCCACAGGAACTGACAGATACACACTCAGGCTGATGATCGGAAACCCTTTCCACAGATAACCCTATGTAGAAATACACACCCCCACGTGCACACAGACTTCCCCTTCTCTGTCCTCACAGGGCCTCTGATAACAGTCTGTGGTGGACGATCTGGGGATTGTGAAAGATACCTCCCTTAGACTAAAGCTCGTTGCTTCAGGCAGAAGCAACTCCAGGAGCCTAAAGCCCTTTAGGTGGGCAGCAGTGCCATTTTTCTCCCCAACCTCATTCCTAGTCCCTCAGAAGCAGGGAAAGAATGCCTATGGCTAGCCAGGTACCCAAAGGGGTAAGAGGAAGGAAACAGTCTCAGAACTGCCTTCTCTGAAAGGTGTATGGGGTCTGAGGCCTCTGGTGGCAGGAGTGGGGAGGACAGCCACCACCCACATCCCTAGGTCTCTGCCTTGTTCCCCACCACAGACACTTCCTCTTTATTTACTTCCTCCCTCAGGGCAGCTGGGAGAAAGCCCAGAGCCCCACAGCCTCGTCCCTGTCCCTAGGGTCCCCACTCTAGACTTCCCTCTGTACCTGCTAATCCCTGGCCCCAACAGACATCAGTCCCTTCCCCAGCTGGCAGCATCTTCAGGGCCTCCCAGGTGTTACCCCTGGATGTGTCTCCCAGCATGCTTCTGGGCAGGTGAGGCTGGGTTTCTGATCTACAGTTTCTCCACATCCTGAGGGGAAGCTGGCCCCAGGCACTTGGAAAGCTAATGAGATTTGAGACTTCTGCTGTGTGGGTATTTAGCATGGACAGGCCATTCTTTCCTTCAGCCCTGCTGATGTGGGTTCCACCAGGCCTGTGCTTGGTACTGGAGCAAGAAGCCTGTGTTTCAGCTCCAAGGGAAGGTATCCTCAAGCCACACAGCTAACAAGAGGAAAGCTAAGAGCAAAGTCAAAGTCGGACCACTTTCCAAGCCTATGCTCTTAAACATTTCATTACTGCCCCCTGCAAGGCCTTGCTGCAAGCATTAAGACACCAGTATTTGGACATCACTGACAGCTCTTGCTCCCTGATTTGTCTAGGCAGGACACAGACATTAGGAGGCACAGACTTAACACAAACCCAGGCCTTGTCCTTAGGGAGCTTTGGGAACAAAACTGTCCTATGAAGGAGCTGCAGTCAAGGTGCTGTGGCTGCCCAGCAATGGTGACTATCTGCCAAAAGTGAGGTCTGGGAAGACCTTCTGTTCAGGGTCCTGAGCTGAGTCCTGAGGATAAACAGGTTTTGGCCAGGCAGAAAGGGGCAGTGGGGAGCAGAGGGGCAGGCAGGGAGACAGTCCAGACAGAGAAAGACCAGCATAAGCCAAGTGGCTTGAGGCTGGGGTGTGGGCTGGGAACTGGCTCCTCACCAAATGGACAAATCTCTTTCCCTATCTGAACCTTAGTTTCCTCCTCTGTAAAATGAAGGTTCAAACTACATACTCCACCCTCAGAAGGTTGTTTCTAGAAGCAACATGGGCCATGGAGACAAAAAACAGAGCTTCTCCTAGGTTTTGTTGAGACAGTGTTACTGCCAGTCTCTCTCCTGGGTAGTTTGAAGGGACAAAGCCCAGACACAGGTCCCAGGTACTGGAAGGGTGGGCTGGCCTGCTCTGGCCATCCAAGGGAAGTTCCTCCTAATACCTGAGGCTTGCCTGAGGCTCCCCAAAGTCCACAGTCACATGCTGTCTAAGCTCCAGCCAGGGGAGCATGAGGGATCCGGGAGGGATCAGGGTTTCATAAACAGGAAGAGAGGAGAGGAGGGGGGAGACGCTCAGCTCTCAAAATAGACCTGAAGGCACTTCAAAGGGGTCCAGCTCCGGACATAGCTGGAAGAGAGGGCCTGGGGTGACCAGTCCACTCCCAGGAAGTGAAGGAGGGAAAGTGGAGCCCCAGTGTGCCTGAGGATACCAGGTGTACCCAGGTATGAAGGGACCCAGAAAGCTCTCACCCTGCACTTGGCAGTACCACACTTTTGTTGCTAAAGGCTAAACCTCCCTTTCTGCCTGAAATGAATAAAATAAACAAGCATTAGACACCAACACTGTGCCACAAACCTTGTTGGATACTTTAATCACACTCTCTCTTCCAGGTGGCCCCAAGAGGTAGGCTTATTTTGCTTTTATAGGAAAAGAATCTAAGCCTTAGAGAGACAAGGTTACAAGACGTGCCTCAGGTTGCAAGGCAACTGAGACACAGGGGCAGGACTTTGAACTCAGAATGCTTGGTTTCTGGTTCCCCTCCCATGCCTCTTCTCCATCTGAAGACTGACCTCTTTCTCCTACTGCTCAAATCCTACCATCCAAAGCCCAGTCAAATGCTAGCTACTCGAGGAAGGTGGCTATGTGCCCCAGACGCCACCCAACACTTCCTCCTCCACCACATACAACAGGTCCACGTGCAGCCTCAAGCTCAGCTGCCACCAGCTGGGGCTGAGATAGGCTCATGTCATCATGCCACTGAGAGACATGTGGGTACCTGGAAGTGGTACACACCTCTGCTCAGCATGAAGCCTGGCCCAGAACGGAGGTCCCATGTGCCAGTGGCCATGTTCGTCCCCCATCCTAGCACCTACTACATTGCTCTCCTGTCTCCACCCTCCCTCCAAGACTGGGAGGTCCCTGAGGCTGGGGGATGTTGACATCATTTTGGGGTCTCTCAGTGCCACAATAGGGTGCACCAATTGTCTAATGCAGAGTAAGCTACCAGCTCTTTCCACTGCACAAAGTGATGAGGTCCTGACCACAGGCTGAGTGCCCCCTGGTGTATTAGGCCAGAAGTGGGCACCAGTGGATGGAGCAACACAGACAGATAAGCAGATGCCCAGGGCTGGCACTAGGGGTCACAGATAACCAATGCTCCTCCTCTTCCACTCTGGATTTCCTGACTTAGGAGCAATATAGGCTCTGTAGTCAAATAAAATTTGGCTTCATCACCTACCAGCTATGGGATGTTGGGCCTTAATTGGCTCATCTATACAATATTGCTAGTAATGACCTCTACTGCCAAGTGGGTAGTGAGAACTAAACGCAAAGCTTCTTGTTTGGTGCTGGGCATGGGTCCAGCTCTTTCTCTTACTTCATGAGGCATCTGAGATTCTCACTGCTCCACCAACTCCAGCCTTGTCTCCCTTTTCACCAGGATCTTCTGCTCCAGGGCAGAAGCAAAGGCTGGAGAGTAAATGAAGGTTCCTTGCCCTGGCAAACTCCTGTCCTCTTCCCATAACTGGAGAGCCCCTCTGACTCTTGAAGGGAGAAGCTGCACTTACCAACAGCTCCCTGAAAGCTGCAAGCAACTCTGTGACCCCTAGAACCTCAATACAAAGATGTGAACCCCTGGTTCTCTATTGGGAGGCAACAACTCCATTTTGTTACTAGAAAACTCAGGGCTGCTCCTTTGTGGGAGAAGACAGGGGCGGAGACAAACCAAGGGGTCTAGGACACATGGCTTACTGGCTCCCATGACTCTGTTGTCACAGAAACCAATGCTGAGGGGGTGGGAGCCTATTTCTCTCACCTTGCCCCACCCCACCCAGCTCAGTTACCTTATCTTAGGAAGCTGAGTCAAGGTAAACACCAGGACCAACCCTGACTCCATCAAAGGTCAAGTCTAAGGTAGGTCTGCTGCTCAGCAGACACAGGCTTAGAAGGTAAGGTCACAGGCAGGAAGTTGAGCTAAGCAATGTACCAGAGCATGACAATGCTGGTGGTAAAGCCACTGTGTGCCAGGCAGTTTGTCCTTCACATCACTCCTGTGTGAAAGACACTGCTTTTCCCAATATACAAATGAGGACACTGAGACTCAGAAGGGAGAAGAACTTTGGGGCAAATGGTGAGGGTGGAGTTGGAACTTGAACCCAGGTTTGCCCATGTTAGGTCTCTGCCCAGTGGCTTCCAAAGTCCTTCCACAGCCACCATCTCCCATGACATGACCTCACAGCTATCTGAGAGTTGTGTGTGGTCCTTCCCACTGCAAAGATGAGAAAGTCAAGGCCTAGGGAGAACAAGGGACCCACAGAAATTCACACACAATCATCTGACCTCTGATACTTTTGGCAATACAAAACCAGTAACAGGGTCTGAAGAGCTGGTACGAAGGAGCCCTGGGGAAGCAAAGAGAGCAGAGGAGGGGGAATGTTCCTCAGCCTAAGAAGACGAAGCCCCAAGAAGCCATCCATCAACCTCTGTGCCTGCTTAGGCTGGAGATGCCACCAGATTCCCTTAGAACCACCATCCCAGCTCATGGGCCCAGATGTTTCTAGGCTTGGGTCAGGCCTGGCACTATAAGGAGATCAGGGGAGGCCCTGAGGCTCTCCCATTACTCCTTAGGCCCTCTCCCTAGAGCTGTCCACACCCCATGAATAAATAAACTAAGGAAGGTCTGGGTGACAAGTAACCAGAGTTCGAGCCTGGATCCTGCTTCTGATCTTTTCCTGGTCGCAGTGCCCTCACCTATGACACAGGAAGATTGGAGCAAGTGGATTCTATGCCCAGAGCTGCTGAAAGGATTAGATGCCATCAGTGCAGTAAGGCTAAGCCACGCAAAGGGATGAGAAGCTAAGGTCCTCATATCCATGTGGGGCAAGGGCAGAACTCTCTCTTCCAAGGCCACGCAAACAGTAGCCCCATGTCCCCAGCACAGAACACTGGCCCTGGTCCTCACCTTGGATGACTGAAGTCCAGCTTCTTCCCCCAAGGCCTGGCCATTCTGGAAAAGAGAAGGGAAATTGGGATCACTATCAGAACTTACCTACATGGAGAAAGATGCACTCTAGGATACCCCAACAGTCTGGCTGCTCCCAACAGTTAGGGAGGGGATGGAGGGGATCAGAAATTCTGGGTGGG